TTTCAAATACCTCAAGCTTATGTCTATCAGATTTTCGGAGAGTCAAGGATTCTGCTCCATATGTGGCAATAGGGAGGATAAGTGATCTGTAGATCCTGACTTTGAGTCTCCTAGAAATATCTTGGTTGGACCAGATGGTACTTTTCAGTCTTCCGAATGCCTAAGCAGCCAGTCTTGTTCGTCTCTTGACGTCCTCTTCTATGGAAGGAACTGTGCTGCAGAGAAAGACAATTTGTTTCCACTTTCTTAATGTTGGTGTTGTTAAGTGAAATATCTTGTTGATCCTCTGTCATGACTTTGCATTTTGTTGTATTGATTTTCATACCCCATATTCTACATGCATATTCCAGTTTATTTGTTGAGATTTGGAGGTTTTCAAATACAAGCTTCATAAGGGTGGTGTCATCTGCATATCTGATGTTATTAATACGCATGTCACCCATCTGTATTCCACTGTCAAGTTGTTGGATGTCATTCATCACATATTCCATGAATATGTTGAAGAGACTTAGAGAGAGGAGGCAGCCTTGTCTTACCCCAGTTATGACATCAAACCATTCAGTTATCCTTCCATTCATCATAACAGAGCATTTGGTTTGCTTGTACATGCTCTCTATGAGGTCAACTAAGGACTTGTCCACTCCAATGGAACGCAGACATTTCCAGAGAGCTTCTCGCCATATGGTATCAAACGCTGCTTTCAAGTCAACAAATTTCAAGTGGATTGGTATCCTTCTTTCTCTGGCTTTTTCGATGATCTGTCGACAAACGACAAACACAGCATCTGTGGTGCCCCTACAGCTTCTGAATCCACATTGTTCCTCTATCAGATGATTCGCAATGGTTCCCTGTATTCTTTTTTATTTATTTATTTATTTATGATATTTATACAGGTTGGCACATATCACCAATTTGGTGGTCTTTCATGAGGCCCTGTTTGGTAATAATAAACAAATAACAGCATCAAAAACAATATAGATAAATACACAAGCATATAAACAGGTAAAATACAAATTAATTAGTATCCCCTTGAAATAACTGATCATTCAAGAATCATCCTTGATCATTTACAAGAAATAGGTGAATGGAATTTTCAAATTATATACAATTTTTAAAAACGTTAATTTAATAATCTGATAAAGCTTAACGCACGGGATACCAAAATTGTTATATACATATTTAAATGCAATTGCTCTTTAACTAATACACTTAGGTTGTTTACAAGATAGCTGGAAATGGATACATTACATGTATGAATACATGATATAACGATAACCATGTCAACCAAATTTCATAATTTTGCAAATAGGAAAACAATGGTTACCATTGCACGAAACCACCAAAAGTTCACTTACACGTCATCTACAGATAACAGGGCTTTTAGAGCGTGTTTAAAACTGTTCAAAGTAGGTGACATTTTGACAGGACTTTTAAGTTGGTTCCATACTCTAATTCCAGAAATTATATTCCTTGTATTCTCATGAGGACCTTTCTACAGAAAACTTTCCCATGTATGGAGAGTAGAGTTATAGCTCTGTAGTTGGATGGATCCAGCTTGTCTCCTTTCTTAAACACTGTAGTGATAAGACCCTTGCTCCAGTCGTCCGGGGTTTTACCTTCCGACCATGCTGTATTTATTATTTTGAGCAGGAGTTGTCTCATTGATTGTCCACCAGCCTTTAGAGTTTCGGCAGCTATTTTGTCCCGACCGCAGGCCTTGCTGTTCTTCAATATTTTTATTGCCGTCTCTACTTCTTCAATTGTGAAAGGTTCACTTGGGTTATCTGTAGGTTGCGGGTCAGGTATGGTCTGAAGAGCATTTTCGTCCCTTGTAAATTGCGTGTTAAGGTGAACGCTAAAATGTACTTTAAGGTGCCGTTATTGTTCTTTACAGCAGGTTGCATTTTGTCTCTCTCACCAGATAGTTTCTTTACCTTCTTGAAGAGCTCGTGGCTGTTGTTCTTTGCGTGACTAATTCTATCTCTTCCACCTCCGTGTCAAGAATTTTCTTCTTCCACTTCTTCACTTCATACTTGACCGCTCTATTGAGTTTTGTGTAGCTTTCCTTGTTGTAGGCCGAGGGATTATTCATCATGAGGATTCTGGCTTTCCTCCTTTGTTCACAGGCCTTACAAACCTCATCTGGGAGACCTTTAACTTGTCTCGACCTTTTGAAGCCAACCATTTCCTCTGTGATATTATTGGTTGTATCTCTGAATTTCTTCCACAGCTCATCCATATCTGTGTCCTGGAGCTGGAGTAGTGGTCCAAAGGCACCTTCAATCCTGGCTTTGAATTCAATTCAATTCAATTCAATAATGGTTTTATTAAAAAACAATGCCTCGCAGCCAAAATGCTGAATTGTGCATGTTTACATATACATGAGCTTCATTTACATATCATTATATTTCATTTGTTACAATCATTCATTCAAACATTATTCATGGGTAGCTATTTAAAATCAATCACTATATATTATTTACATTTTAAAAATATATTAAAGTTCACAATAGTAATAATAATAATTGATTAAAAGCAATACAATACATAACATACAAATAAGTTTAAAAAAACCATGTAGTTTCCTACGTTAAAACTAAATCATACTTGGGTACATATTAAAACATTAGATAATGATAACAATATTTATCAAATATTGTTAATATATACATTATGTAATAATACATTTCAATTATTCATTATTTAGAAGATCTATGAGGTATGGTATTGGACTCTTTCTAAATTTGTTAGTTTTGCACTTGTACTAGGTGTACTTTGTTGTTCTCCTCAAGCGGTAGCGACTTTCCTGTTTTTCAACTAGCCAATTCGATGAAAAGGGACTTTCTTCCAGATTATGAGCAAACGTAAGACATAATTGTTTTCTTCTTTCCTCAAGAGTAACTAAGTTACATGTTTCTAATGCGACATTATTCTCCGTGCTCTCTTTTGAATTGATTCAAGTGCATAGATGTGCTGTTTTGTAAGAGCTCCGTTCAAAACAGGGGCACAGTACTCTACAATCGGTCTTATATATCCTCTAAATGTGGTGATCAGATCTACACTGTTAGAAAAAAAATTAAACAAGTTGTTTAAAATTTTTAAACAACCACAAGTTAACCGGTGAATCGCTCAACTGTTGTTTAAAAATTAAACAACTTATTAAAGGTTGTTTACGTTTTGAACACTTAGTTGTTTAAAAATTAGAAAAACTTTTAAACAACAGTTGTTTAGTAATAAAATTGCACAACTCGGTTGTTTAAAGCAGGTTGTGTAAATGTTAAACAATAATGTTTAAATTACTAAGCAACTGTTGTTTATTCAATATTACTGCACAACTCGGTTGTTTAAAAGGAGTTGCTAATATTTTAAACAGAACTGTTTAATTGTTATTACCTGGTTGTTTAAATTTGTGAAATGACCTACTGGAACCATTCCTGCAATAATCACAAAGATTACACTGTAACATGAGAGCTTGTTGCCAATTTACTTCAACATTTGTTCATCATATTCATTTAACAGTGACAGAGAACATTATTATTTGTCTCTATAACTTCACCTTAACCCCATCGGTGAAGCCGAGAAGAACCAAGTCGTCGCCTTGCCCTTGTTTCGCCATTTTCGTCTGCACTGCACTGCACTAGCACTTGCACTGCCCACTAGCACTAGCCCTGCATGCTTGCATGCATGTACTATGTACGTACTTTGTGCATATCGCATGTGTGCGCGCAAATTGCAATCGCGTATCGAGAAAATGTCAACGTCGCGAAATCATGATTGGTTCAATCTATCACGTGATTTTTCCCCCGGGACTTTTTAAACAACTCTGTTTAATTAAATCTTTTTGTTTTTCAATAAATAGTTGTTTAAGCCAATCGAGCACTGATTTTTCGATTTTGAACAACGTTGTTTACGTTTTTAAACAACATTCTTTTAAACAGTGATATTTTAAACACCGTTCTAACTGTGTACAATGGGTAGTTTGAATGATTTCAGTCTCCTCAGTATGTATAACTTCTTGTTACTTCTCTTCAAGAGGTCAGTCACGTGTGTATTCCATTTTAGGTCACTCTATACGATTAAACCCAATAGTTTGGGAGATTCTACATTACATAGTTGGGTATCATCAATAAACGAGACCGCCTGTTGTACAGGTTGCTTACAAAAGGAGATCTGCATAACTGAACATTTAGAGGCATTTAATTTCATATCATTCCTATTAGACAATTCCTGTAGTTTGCGAAGTTCATCTTGTAATTTTGAAGCTTTACATATACTCCTGCTTTCTACCATTGACAAATCGCCTACGTATTTGATATACGGTATAATGGAATCTTGGCATGCATCATTCATTAGTATAAAAAATAACAAAGGTCCAAGTTTTGTTCCTTGTGGAACTCCTGTATTTATGACATTCCAGTTTGATTTTGTTCCATTATATTTGACACACTGCAATCGATTATCCAAAAAGCTCATTATCCAGTTAATAAGGCATGGTCTGACATCGAGATTGAGGAGTTTTTGAACTAAGACATTGTGATTTATTCTATCGAAGGCTTTCGAATAATCTGTAGTCAATATCGTTAATGTAAATTTCACCTTTTCTGCATTCTCCAATATCTGGTGTATCAAACCAATGAGGTAATGTGTCGTCGATAAGCCTTTACGATTTCCAAACTGATTAGGATCAAGATTTGTGGTTATATCTTCTAACAGCCACTTGGCAATAAACGATTTGGCTATCTTAGCAAAATAGCTTGTCAGGGCTATTGGTCTAGGGTCCAAAAGTGTCGGTGGGTGCACCTTAGGAACAGGAACTACTTCTACTTGTTTCCATTGTAATGGAACCTCAGATTGTTGGAATGATACATTAAGAATATCTGTAAGTGGGACTAACAATTCATAGGCGAATTCGCGAATGATCCGAACAGGAATATCCCCAGTAATTCCGGCTTTACCTTGACTAAGAGAACGTAGGTATTTATACACTTGCCATGGTTGTACTAGGGGACAGTTGCTTCTACAATGTTATAGTCATTAAATCTGCCCACATCATAGTTTTTCAGGAGGCTCTTCATTCGCTTGGTCTTTGTAGGTGAGAACTTCACATTAGCCAGTACTAGATTGTGGTCTGACCCGATGTCAGCTGAGCAGTACGATCTGCAGTTCTGGAACGACTTTATATTTTCTAATTTGGTAATAATGAAGTCTATCTGTTTTCTGTATTGTCCACCTGGGGATGTCCATGTTGCCCTTCTATATTCTTTGTGTTGGAAGTAGGTGTTACACACTGCCATTCCGTGTAACATGCAGAACTCCAGAAGCTTATGCCCTATTCTGTTGATCTGACCTAATCCATACTTGCCCAAAGTTGGTGCCCATACCCCATGGTCTGCTCCTACTTTCGCGTTAAGGTCACCTATCACAATTATGTTCTCCTTCCTAGGGACCTTCTGGATATGCAACTGGAGTGCATCATAGAAAAAGTCAATTTCTTGTTCACTATGTACAGATGTAGGGGCGTAAACCTGGATGATATTCATGATCCCTTCTTTCATGTTGAATTTCGCTGTGATGATCCTCGGTGAGACTGCTTCGTAGCTCACCAAGCGATGCAGGATTTGCTGGGAAATCATGATGCCGACTCCCTCCCGACTCACGTTATCTGTCCTGTGTGATAAAAGGATTGAGTACTCCTCTTTGTTTATAAGCGTCTCTGTGCCAGTCAGGTGTGTCTCACACAAACCTAGAATATCCAGATCAAATCTCCGAGCTTCTTCAAGGGGTAAATCCCATTGCCCTGCTTCCTTCAGTGTTCTCACATTCCAGATTCCGGTGTTCAGCACACCAGATTTCCTTGTGTTGTAAGAGGACTGTGAGGTGTCTTCTTTAGTCATGTCATGTACTCTATTTGTTCGTGGTCGGTGGTTACCCTTCTTCTGGATACTTACACTATTTGACGGTGCAGTTACTCCCTATACATTGTTCTTCTTCTTGTTCTTCTTCTTCATGGTGTTCTCTTCTGTCGATGTACTCTGCTACGTTGTGTACCTGTGGAATCGGCAACAAATCACCCAGCAGATTCTTCGCACCCCTGCCTCTCTGCTGCCAGCAAGCAGCCACCGGGACTCGGGGCCGTAACGGGGAAACAACTTTCATAATAATATCTCGTAGAGGTGTGGCCTTTATACAAACTGGGCACGCGGCCGCTGGCTTCCCAGCCGGGTTCAGCAAAGATGTTCTGCTCTAGCAAGGCAGAGTCCACCCCTCCCCCTCCACCTTGTGGTTTATTTCAGGTTTCCTTCCCTACCCAGAGCCCCTTTTGGTTTCTCAGGCCGCAAAGCCCGAGGTATCCAGTCAGTACTACGAGGAGGTAGGGGCTGAGTTACAAACAGAGAGGCGATTATGGAAAGGTAGACTGATTGGATGCTACCAGTACATACAGCTAGGAGTAGGAGATGAGAGGAGAGGGAAAGGGCAAGCAGAAAGGGATAAACATGCGAGGGGACATGAAAGGAAGAAAGGGTTATTGTTGGAAAATATAGGCAACTCCAGCTGCAGTTGCGTTTCTGCCTAACCTAACCTAGAGGAACTAGTGGCATGAAAAGACTGCCATAGTTAAGTCCAACTTAAAGTCGATCTTAGTATTTGTGAAACACTCTCCAGGACTATTAGAGCCATGAACTTCAAACGTGGTGCCAATTTGTCATAACATTAGAGGGGAATGGACTGAAAGATGGTAGCGTACTGAGATCAAATGTCACAAAGGACAATTGCAGATTTGTGTATATAAATTACACAGTATCATGCGAACCTATTGGTTTGCATAAATCCAGTGGTGGATCCAGGGAGGGGGCCCCCACCCCTGGGAAAAAAAATAGGTAAAACACGTTGATGTTACCTATATTTGGAAACGGGGACCTTCTCCTGGTGCTCAAGGGGTGCTGAGTCGACGCTAGATATTTCCAGAAAAATTTGGCACAAAAAAAAGCCTCTTATTGCAAAATATTGCAAAGTAGTCCAAATGACTGCACGCTTATGTCGTACATCGTGGGCTTTAAGGGATTGAGTATCTTTGCCTCAGATTCTAAACAAAATCCTGAATTTATCTCATGCTGCAATCATAACTATAAACCTTTAGGTCAGTCAGGAATCCCATGACTTTTACAAGCCAATCACCTGTCTGATTATCAAGATATTTATGATTGAAAATTGAAAGGTTTTTTTATTTAAACACTTACAGTCTATTTGGGAAAATGTATGGTAAAACCAGTCACTCAAAGATTTTAATTTTTTGAGGCACTACATGATCATTTTGAAGCTCAATTTTTTTAGGGCTTCAATATTACACCATATCACAGACACCGATAACACGTAGGGCCATGCATCTCAGATTGAATATTGTTAAACGATGCCTTTTATTAAAGTCATTGTTTTTTTGCATTAACAATACTTGGTATTTAGATTAGGTCAAATAGTCCAGTAGAGCAACATTAAAACCACACTGTCTTACTGGTAGCTACTTGCTCCCTCTATATAGAAAATAATGCCTATTCGGTGACCATTGGTCCCCCATGATCCTCTTTTTCTTATGTTAATTGAGAGCTGAGTTGATGAGATAACCATCTGTCTAGTGACCTTGCAGGGAGGTTTAATTCCTCCTATAAACTAGTACAGATAAGCTTTGAAACGATTCTTTCATTTTCGTAAAGTTTGGATTGGTCCAACAGTGTCTCTCAGTAAGAATTGGATGAACAGCTTTTGACATTTTCATCTTGAAAATAATTGTTATTCACTTCCTTGATATTCTTCATTGGATCTCTTGTCTAAAAATGCCGTCGCCAAGAAATGTATAGAAATTAACTCTTCCCGAAAGGATCACAACCTTGCCGTGGTCGGGGAGCTTGGGTGGCTCCATGACCCTTAGAGCTATGCCGGCGGGAGATTCGTCTCCTGGTAGTGTCACCCTTGCCGGATAGGTTGACGGGTAGAGACCAGACAAAGTGTGATCCCTGGTCCTCCAGGTTGGGGGTTGGGCTCCGGGTTGACAACTCTGACCTGAATAAAAAAAACATTGTTACGGAAACAGCAACAAAAGAAACTAAAACTACCCGGCGTGATGGGCTTCCAGGTGTATCACATTATACTTTTATGAATGGCAGTGGTGAAAGCCGAGAGGAAGCCACTGACAGGATGGTGGAAGTGCTGAATGCCAATGTAAAAGTAAGATAGGATTTTGGAATGTACATAAAATGTATGAGGCAGGAAAGCTTGCTCAAGTTACAGCAGAGATGAGGCGATACAATTTACACATTCTGGGAGTTAGTAAAAGTAGATGGACGGGATCAGGAAGTATTAAAACTAACACAGTCAGGTGAGACGGTGCTATACTCAGGAAGAGATGACAACCACCGTTCAGTTCAGAGGTAGTAGCCATCATTCTGAAGGAAGGTGTAGAAAAGTGCCTGATGGAGGTGAAACCTATTAATAGCAGACTTGTGAAGATAAGGCTGAAAGGAAAAAAGATTAACATAACTATCATCCAGTGCTACAATGACAGTGACGATGAAGCTAAAGACGAATTTTATGACCAACTACAAGCCGAGTTGAACAACACACCAGGGCATGACATGAAGATAGTGATGGGAGACATGAATGCAAAAGTTGGGAACGACGACACAGGCTACGACAGGGCAATGGGAAGACAGGGATGTGGAGTCATAAATGAGAATGTAGAAAAACTTCTTGAATTCTGCTCTACCTATGACCTTGTTATAGGCGGGACTCTCTTCCCACATAAAGACATCCACAAGCTCACATGGAACTCTCACAACGGACGAGATAAGAACCAAATTTACCACCTGATGATTAATGGCACATGAAGACATTCACTTTTTGACGTCAGAGTGATGCGGGGAGCAGATGTCAATAGCGACAACCATCTTGTAATGGCAGTAGTCAAAGTAAAGCTCAGGAAAACTGGTACTAGGAAGGCAAGACAACAACAACTCGATGTGGACAAGCTGCGAGATCCTAGAGTGAAGAGCTCTTTCGTATTGCAGCTTAAGAATAGATTCCAGATACTAGCGGGACTAGAAACTGACAATCAACCAAATATGGATGCAGCCACAGATGACGTCAACACCAACTGGGAACAGGTTAAGACAGCTTGCTTGAAAACTATTGAATCATGTCTAGGAGTGAAAAAGAAGGAAAAGAAAGAGTGGATAACAGATGATACTTGGCAAGCCATAGATAAACGGAGGGGAGCGAAGAAACAAGCCATGGAAGCAAAATCAGACAGACTAAAAGAAATGTATAAGCTTCAGTACCGAGAGGCAAACAAGGCCGTAAAGATGAAGACAAGAGCAGACAAACGTGCCTTTTTTGAAGACCCTGCAAATCAGGCAGAGGAAGCAGCCGTTAAAGGGGAATAAGGAAAGGTATTTAAAATTACCAAAATAATCAGCAGCAAGTATAGAGGAACCACAAATTCACTTATTGAAGACAAACAGGGGAGGCTTCTCACAACAGAAGCAGAACAGGAAGCTAGATAGTCCGAGCACTTTAACGAAGTGTTGAATAGACCACCACCGACAGTAGAGGCTGACATACAAGAGGCAGAGGATGACTTGGATGTCAGCAGCATACCACCAACTAAAGAAGAAGTAATAGCTGCAAATCAATAATTAAAAAATGGTAAAGCCCCTGGCTCTGACAATCTCAACGAAGAACTTTTTTAAGGCGGACTCAGAATTAGCAGCAAAAATCCTTCTGCCACTCTTCACAGCTATATGGGGAAAGGAAGGCAGTCCCTGACGATTGGTCAGAGGGAGTTATTGTAAAATTACCAAAGAAGGGATCCCTTAAAAAAAAAACTGCAATAACTGGCGTGGCATAACACTATTGTCAATACCAAGCAAAATATTGGCCAAGATAATTATTACCCGTATCATAGATGCTGTTGACCAAAATCTCCGAAGGGAACAGGCAGGTTTTCGGAAGGGAAAAGGTTGCACTGACCAGATATTTGCACTTCGTAATATCATAGAGCAATGCACAGAATGGCAGAGGAGACTTTATATTAATTTTGTTGACTTTGAAAAAGCATTCGATAGCATCCACCGAGACAGCCTTTGGAAAATACTACGCAAATATGGGATATACCACAGCAGCTAGTTCTTGTAATTAAGAGCTTTTACACCAATTTCACATGCAGAGTAGGAAACAGTAACCATAAGTTCCAAGTGGAGACTGGAGTTAGTCAGGGATGTGTCATGTCAGCACTGCTCTTCAATATCGCCATAGACTGGGTGATGAGACAGGCAACTGAAGACCAAACAAGAGGCATAAGATGGACACTCTTTTTTTACACTTGAGGACCTCGACTTTGCAGATGATCTCGCTCTACTTTCACACACCCACCAGCATATGCAAGAAAAAACATCCAGACTCAGTGATTCTGCCCAGCAAATTAGCTTGAAGATCATCCAATAGAAAACAGAGGTAATGACCCTGAACATCTCGGACCCTTTTTCAATACAAGCAAACGGGAAAGACCTACCTATAACTGGGGAGTCTACTTACCTAGGCAGCACTGTCAGGCACGATGGAGGCGCATTGAAAGAAATTAAGACCCGTCTTAATAAAGCCAGAAATGCACTCAGAATGATCAATAGTATATGGAGATCACAGCAGTATAGCACCAAGAACAAGCTAAAATTGTACTAGAGCTGTGTTCTTTACACTCTCCAGTACGGCTCTGAATGTTGGAGAATGACGAAAAACGACCTCAATAAGCTATCGGTTTTCCACACAAAGAGTCTGAGAAGAATATGCCGCATTTTCTGGCCAAACACCATTTCAAATTAAGCACTGTATGCCCAATACCATCAATGCAGCATGGAGAACATCATCACGAGGAGAAGGTGGAGATGGATCGGACATGTAATGAGAAAGACAAAGATGACATCACACGAACAGCCCTCCACTGGACACCAGAAGGCAACAGAAAGAGGGGACGTCCTAAAAACACTTGGCGAAGAAGGGGAGATTGAAGACCTGAACCACACATGGGATACCGTCCAAAGACTGGCCCAGGATCGGAAAGAGTGGAAGACTTATGTTGCTGCCCTATGTGCGAGGAGGCATAATGGGCAGTAAGTAAGTAAATATAAATGAACTGTATTCAAACAGTCTATGAAACAGATAGTAATTATATTATGTAATCCATGTGTGTAATAAAAGGGGTAGGAAAGACATTATGTCAATTATACTTGAAAGACGTTATATCAAGTAATCATAAACATTGTTTCCCAATCACAGTACTTGAGAGTAATTGATGGCAGATAAATTGAAATTATCCTAATTTGCATCGCACCTCTCAACGCCTGAACATTTATGACATTTCTAAGTATTATATAGTAATAATGACTGCTTTGAGAGACATAGTCGTTTTTATTCGCTCAGGGGGGGGGGGGTTACATCGTGCAATTGCCCGAGGCGTGCCGAGGGTAATAGCACGATGTAACCTCCCCGAGAGCGTATAAAAACAACTATGCCTCGAATATTAAAGCAGTCATTATAACTTGTATATACTGAAAAAAGAGTCAACTTATGACACCACCTTAGCTTTTCTCTAGTTTATCTGCACGGTAAGTTTTTGTGAGTGTATCTTTGAGAGTTAGACTAGATCTATGTAGCATTTTTTTCCCGAATTCCTCGAAAATTTCAAAGCTGTCGAATGTCATTTCACGCAAATTATCAATAAATTGTCCTGAAGACCTACAGGATCATCCAAAACAAGCGAACCTAGGATTTTGTCCATGTCTTATGTCTGATGAGATAGCTGGTTTGTGAGTCACAACTCCCTTTCCTTCTTGTTTAAGCATTGCTGAAAACCCCTTTAAAACTCTCGTCGAATTGGAAAAATCTTCGTGGTTAATGATGTCGACATTGTAAAATCACAGAAATTAAATATTTGGGCGCCTCCTTCCTTACTATGAGTTTTGTTGGGCCATCCAGCATCTTGCTTCATGGACGGTGATATTTGGGCATTAATCTTGCCGGGGGGAGGGTGGCAAGAATGAACGGTATCTCCTTCCGACTATGTTTACAATGTATACAAGATGTTTGTGACAGTTTTTTTAATTTAATGTGTCACACACTATTTTATAATAAATCATGGTCAGAATTCCTGCAGTGAAGGAAAACAGGGTATGAGACATGATATAGGTATTATATAGAATTTTCTTAGTTATTGAGTGAAATAAGTATTGTGATTTCATTATTTATTACAGTTATTAAGTTGTAAATGCAGTATGTAAAATGCTTATTCTGTAACTGACATTGCTAAATATTTCATTTTCTTCAGAGTAGCATACATGTACCTATCAATTTTAAGAATGTTTAAAGTTTAGGTACATAGCACTAATATGTACTGCATTGCAGAAATATTGGAATTCACAATGTTTTAGAAATCTCAAGTTTCTAAAAGAATTGATTTGAGGTACTAGGAAGTAATGGCGGTTCGATTGTTGTCTTTTTTATGATTTGGCCTGTAACACTTTAGGAGGCGCGATAGCTCAGTCGGTAAAACAGTGGTTTCGTAATCCGGTGGCCTGGGTTCGAAACCAAGTCGATGCGCTAGTGCCCTTGGTAAGGCATTAATCCTCATTACCAGGCCCCTCGGAGAGGATCTTAAACCGTCGGTCTTACTAACAAGCATTTATTGCTTTCTTAGCTTTCATGTAAAATAACCACCACTATCACTACCACTTTATAACTTAATTTGAAACCAAAAGTTTGGAATGAAAACTATAATGATAGAATAAAATTCCATAGGAGACTTAAGTTTTCAGCTGGTGATATGGCAGTCGAACCTTTAACAATGACAGGTACACAAGTAGCAATAGAAATCCTCGGGTATATATTTACTCGATAAATAGGAACTTAAATGTGATAATTTGGGCAGTCACTATGTTAAAGGCATCGTTTAACAATGTTAAAGCCCATCAATACTAGTGAACAGGCAAGGTCACTGGACAGGAGGTTATCTCATCAAAGCAGCTCTCAATTAACATAAGAAAAAGAGGATCATGGGGGACCAATGCAGTGGCGGATCCAGGGGGCCGGGCCCATGTCCCCTCCCCTAGGAAAAATACAGTTAAAAACACGTTAATTTAACCTTTTTTTGGAGATGGGCCCCCTCCCCTGGCGCTCAAGGGGGCCCCTGGATCCGCCAATGGACCAATGGTCACCGATTATGCATTGTTTGTTATATAGAGGGAGCAAGTAGCTATAAGTAGTGCAGTCACTGCAGTGTGGCTTTAAATCTGAGATGCACGGCCCTACGTGTTATCAGTGTCTGTGATTTGGTGTAATATTGAAGCCCTAAAAAAATTGCGCTTCAAAATGATCAAGAAGTGCCTCAAAAAAGTAAAAATCTTTGAGTGACCGGTTTTACTATACTCATTTTCCCAATTGACTGTATTGTTATGAAAACCGTTTGGCACGTTTGAATCTCAGTCTTTCAATTTGAAATATGTTTTAAAGACTTTTATATTTTGTTTAAAGAATTTATTGAATTAAAGGAATATTGTTGTTGTTGTTGTTCAGTTAGCTATTATGCAGAACTACAATTCTATCCCGGATCATGTGACTAAATTGTACTTTCAAAGCCATAAATTTGATTGTAAATTATATTTGTGATAATAAGATTTTGTATGTGTGTTAGCAAAGCTGAACTTTAAAGTTTCTCTATGAAAGAAATGTTGGTATAATAATGCATCATATTGTATACAAGATACTTTAGAACATGTATTGCTTGTTGGAAAATTCTATGAATACCATCATGCAATATACATCAATAAGTCATTTATAC